GTCTTGACCATTGGTCCAGGACCGAAGATAGTGTCGAAGCTGTGTCAGGTTGTGCTACTCCCCACGGATCGTGCGCATTACGCGGGTCGAAGGTGGAAGTTCCCCCGACGATCAGGTGAATGCGCGTCGTGAGTCACGACTCGTGACTTACTTACCTGGCCTCCGTTCTCTGCACGTCGAATCTTCAATTGATTCGTGAACATGCAACTTCATCCTGGGCTTGTTGCGCTTGCTGCCGTTCGTGTCCTTCAATTCCCTTTTCATCGCCAGACCAACAAGCACCAGCAACGATGAAGATACTCGCAGCAGGAACCACAGCTGCGGTAGTGACCTCGACGGCATTCCTTCCCGCGACGCACGGCTGGTGGGACAACGGGCACATGCTCGTCGGCGAGGTGGCCAAGCAGCTTATGAACGAGGCAGACGTCATTACGATTGAGAGCATTCTATCCAAATGGAACGAAGACTTTCCCAATACTGGCGAGATCACTACGAGTGCGGTTTGGATGGATCTCATCAAATGCACATCTGTCAGTTCATACTGCCAGTCCCCTTTAACTCCTTCCATCACGAGTATGAGTGATTGGCACTATATCGATCTGCCCGTGAACATTAACGGCGACAAGTGGGAAGATAAAGACGCCGATCTGTCCCTGTTTGACGACACCATGGGAGGTGACGCTGTGTCGGTCATTGAAGGAGCGTTGAAGTCCTTCAAGACGACCAAGTCGAGCTGGGCTGTCAACCTGTTCCTTCGCAACTTCATCCACATCTTCGGTGACCTTCACCAGCCTCTCCACACAGTCGCCGGTGTCAGTGAAGCCTTCCCGGAAGGCGATGGTGGCGGTAACAGCGAGTACTTCGTGTCTCCGTGTGCCTTCAGCAACCTACACGCTGTCTGGGATGCAGCCGGCGGTCTCTACAGCTTGAACAACTGGGCACTCGACATCGACGACTTCAAGTCGACGCTTCAGAGCAACGCCACAGAGCTCATCTCTCTGCTGCCAAACATCTCAGACACCTTGAACTTCTCTCAATACGAGAACGCGACATACAACGAGCTCTACACGGCGCTAGTAACCAACTCGGGACTGCGCGAGGTGATCCTCGAGACCTACTCGTACGCTGATACGGTAGTCTACAGCGGATTGGACCTCAACGCGACCAGTTCAGGCAACTATCCGTGTCCGTCGTCCTCCTACCTCTCCATGGCTGGTGAAATCTCACAGAAACGCATTGCGATGGGCGGCAGTCGTCTCGCTATTATCCTCAAACACTTTGCAGCCCAAGTTCGTGCACTTGGTCTGGCAGATTAACGAGTAAGCTCATCAGGTGGAATAACAAGTTCATAAGGTGGACTTGTTATTCCAGCCATTCGTAATAAATTCATGAACTCGTTCAGATTTTACGTGACACTAAAAACTTGCAGCCGAGATAAATGCACGACTTGAGCACTGACGTGACACTTTCACGCGTTAAAGTTTTATCGTGTTCGTCCAGCAGCATATAACTCTTGAGTGACGAGTGCGTCTTCGCTTCTTCATCAAACTTCTTACCGTAGTGCCATCCTTTAGCTGCGTACTCGGCAGCCCACACCTCGTGCGAGTTCTCAGCGAGCAGATCGATAAGGATCATGATATCCCACGACAACTGGACGTGGTCCAGAGGAAAAGGAACGTCTCTCGTTTTCAGCTTCGATGGGCGGTGGTAACTAACCTGAACGCCAAGCGCAACCACGCACTTAATGACCTCGTCGACGGAGGCAAA